TGCCCGAACCATCTAAGCCTCGTTTTCCGCATCTTGTCATCCATAGGAGCTACGCCCATCTTCTTCCGAATAACTTCGTTTCTAATCTTATTCATCCTAGTATGCCTGTACATCCACCTTAACATCCTTATTTCTGCTACCTTCATCTTCTGGATGTGTGATTGCTTAACTAGCCAACACTCAGCCCCATACAACATGGCCGGTCTAACCACCGCTCTATAAAACTTACCTTTGAGTGACAAAGGCACTTTCTTGTCACACAATACTTCATATGCTAGTCTCCATTTCATCCAACCCACCCCTATACGGTGCATAACATCCTCGTCTATCTCCATATCCCCCTGGATAATCGACCCAAGGTACTTGAATCTGCCTCGCTTGGGGATGACCCGTGATTCAAGCCTCACTTCCGTGCCCGCTTCCATCGGCTCCGCGCCGAACTTACACTCTAGGTATTCCGTCTTAGTCCTGCTCAATTTGAAACCCTTATACTCAAGCGTCTGTCTCCAAACCTCCAACCTCTCATTAACGTCGTCTCACATCTCATCAATCAGAACTATGTCATCAGCGAATAACATACACCATGGCACCTTGATAACTAGGGATTTTGACGTGTTTCATGCTTCTTCTTGCTTACGCTTTGATTATAAATTCTTACAAAATAGTCCCAAAAAGGCTTATAAGTTGTGCTTGATTGCAGGTTTGATCAACAAAGTGACGAGATGTCAAAGATCGGCTCAAAAGGAGTGAAACCTGTACAAGTACCAAAGACAAGACAACTCAGGACAAACAGGCCTAGTGCGACCGCACTACACTTTGTGCGGTCCGCACTAGGGAGATTCAGAGACCTGGATTTTAAGGCATCAAAGTAGTGTGTCCGCAGTAGATATTGTGCGGCCCGCAATGAAGACACCGCGGCCGCACTGAAGACACCGCGGCCGCACTACCATTTTATGCGATCCGCAGAAGCAAACTTCAGAGAGATATCAAGTGCCAAGGTTCAAGCCTGTGCGGTCCGCGGTCGTGTTTGTGCGGACCGCGCTAGATGCCTCCGCGGCCGCAGTCCATTTTGTGCGTTCCGCGGGCTTGGGTTTAGAGAGTTGATTTTTCAGAGTCAAGAGCCTAGTGCGGCCGCACACCATTTTGTGCGGTCCGCACTGACCCCGCAGGGGCAATTTTGTCCAGTTTTTCCAGCTTAGTATAAATAGAACATTTTTTCATTTTCAGGGTATCAGGTATTACAACACTGTAGCTGCGCTCGTGAGACGATATTTCTTAGCCATTTTGGGCACTTTTACTTAGTTTCACTCATTGAAACTTTGTATTTACTTTAGTAATTAATTAATATATTTTTCTCTTCATCTATTTTTTTGATTTTATCTTCAAGCATGAGTGTTGGTAATTGATGGGTGTTGTGATTTAAGGTTAGATTGATTATGGGCATTTGTTAATTGGGTCAATTTTATGGTTTAATTTATGAATTAGTGGTTGCAAACACTAGTTTGTGCTAAGTTGACTTGGGCTCTTCTTGAGAAAGAGAGCCTAAGTCTCCAAAATTGACTCAACAAGGAATTGGGATGGACTCAAGAGATTTGATAGTCCCAATTAAAGGGTTAAACCTCGAGAGAGTAATTACCCGACTTGAACCCTAGTTGCTTGGGCAAATCTGCATACCCAATTGGTCTCGAGAGAGTCAATTGGGCAAAACCACTCTTTCTACCGAGAGGTGTAGAGTGGGTAGTATCGAGCAACGGTTATAACATATTTCCCCAATCATGTCAATCGTGCCTTAGATGCAATTACCCGTCAATTAGCCACCTAGGTGAAAGTCACTACCCTAGTGCCCTTTTAAACAATTAGATACAACTTGTAGCAATTTACTCTTAGTCTAATCTAGTTGCAATCATAATTTGTAGTTTGATCATAGTAGAATATAAAGAAACCCCAAAAATTATGAGAAGGGTAATTAAGAACACACACGCAATCCTAAGCTAGATAGATACTCGATTCCAATCCTAGCTCTCTGTGGATTCGATCCCGACCCATAAATCGGGTAAAAGCTATTGCGACCCTCTCTTGCTACTTATTAGTAGTGCGGAGTTGGCAGTGATCACACCTCCCCTTGAATGTGGCGTGTCAGTGCGTCCATGACCAATGCAAATAAGAACGGGCTAAGCGCATATCCTTGCTGTAACCCCATAACAACCGAAAAATGCTCTGAGTCGCCTCCCACTTTCCTAACCCAAGTCTTAGCTCCATCATACATGTCCTTAATAGCCCTAATGTAGGCAACCGACACACCTTTAGCCTCCAAGTATCTCCAAAGAAACTCTATAGGGACTTTGTTATATGCTTTCTCCATGTCAATAAACACCATGTGCAAATCCTTCTTTCGATTCATGTACTGCTCCACCAACCTCCTGATAAGGTGAATATCTTTCATAGTCGAACGACCCGTCCCCCTCGCCCTGACTTCTACCACTCTCTCCCAGACTTTTATGGTGCGATTTAGTAACTTGATACCCCTATAGTTGTTACAACTCCGGTATCACCTTTGTTCTTGTATAGCGGAACCACCATGCTCCACCTCCACTCATCTGGCATCCTCTTCGTCCTGAAAATAACATTGAACAGCCCAGCCAACCACTCCAAGCTTTCTCTAACCACACAACCTTCAAAATTCTACCGGGATTTCGTCCGGTTCGGTTGCTCTACCCCTACTCATCTTACGCATAGCCCCCACGAACTCACCGACCTTAATGCGCCTGCAGTACCTAAAGTCTCGGTGCCTCTCGGAATGCTCCAATTCACCTAGCACAATATCCCGATCCCCTTCTTCATTCAGGAGTCTATGAGAGTAAGTTTGTCATCTCCTCTTAATCTTCTCCTCTCCCATCAATACTCTATCGTCCTCGTCTTTGATGCACCTCACCTGGTCCAGATCTCGAGCCTTCCTCTCTCTCGCCTTGGCCAGTCGGAATAACTTCTTCTCCCCGCCTTTGTCCCCCAGATCCTCATACAGATGGCCAAATACCGCAGTCTTAGCCTTCGTGACCACCAAATTTTGCCTCTTTCCTAGCTACCTTATATATCTCTCTATTCGCTCTCCTTTCTTCCTCGCTTGTGCTCTCTACTAACTTCAGGTATGTCACTTTGTTCGCTTCCACTTTACCTTGGATCACTTCGTTCCACCACCAGTCACCTCTATTCCAGCCAGAGCAACCCTTCGAGACCCCTAACACCTCTCTCGCCGCCTCCCTTATACAGCTCGCCGCCGTCGTCCACATATTGATCGCGTCCCCACTACTCTTCCATGATCCCATATCCGATAACCTCTCCCCAACTCCTGGGCTTTATCCTTAGTCAAGGCCCCCAACTTGATCCTCGGTTGACCTCGTACGAACCTTGATGATAGGCTATAATTGCATATTTTAGTCGCTTATTACACTCGAATTTACTGCACTTTAATTGAGTTTGCGCTTTAAACGCTAGTGTTTTGCACTAATTGTGTGTTTTATGCCTTGTAGGTGTGATTCCGAGCTATATAGATGTTATGGAATGAATTTAAGTGATTTGAAGCTTTGAAGTCTGAGTAAAAGATCAAGGAATTAAGCCGGGATCGTGTTCGGGGGTCAAATTTGATAATTAAGTACGAACTAAGACTTGAGGAGGTATATTGCGCACTGTCTAGTAAAATAGACATAACGTTTTTCTCAGAACTCCATTTGGGCTCCGCAATATATGGTTGGAAAGCTAACTCAAAGGGCTACAACTTTCATGTTTTACATTTTTCCAAATTCCAAATGGAACAGGGTGAAAAATCGCGGTTTTGCCGCGACCGCGGTAGAACCGCGGTAGAAGATGGTCGCGGACAACTGAAGAATCAGAGGGCATGTTTGGCCGCGGTTCCACCGCGACCGCGGCAAAACCACGGCAGGAAGCGAAAATTTCAGGGACTAAAGTGCAAAACATGGAATTTTAAGTCCTAAACCCTATATTAAATAAAGGAGGCCGGCCAAGAACAAAAGAGGACATATTTTGGACACAAATTAGACCTAAGGAGGCGGAGAGACACTACTTTAGGGTTAGACAACACCCTTGGAGGCAAGAACACATTTGGAGCAAGGCGGAGAATTCTTCTACGAGTTTTTCCTTCCTCTTCCTATTTTTAATTGTTGGTTATGACTTTTAGTATTGTAGTTTTACATACTATTATGAATAGCTAATTTGTTATCTAGAGTTTTGATAGAACCTCTTGTAGGATAAATTCTTGTTATGTTTTTATATAATTGAGCCATAGCCTTTTCTCTATTTGTTCAACTACGTTTATATTGTGGTTGATTGAAGAGCTCTCAATTAGCTGTGCCTATTTAGTATGCATAACTCGGGAGAGAGTGCATATTTAGGTAGTTGTTGAACAACACCACTCCCAGAGTATATGAGGGATCAATAACCGAGGGTTTAAAGGTGGGATTAGGGATAACGAAGCCTTGGGTGCGATCTGAAGTGAGCTGTATTAAAAGCCAGCTAGCGTATCTCGGGAGAGTGCGTCTAGTACATTGTCGTAATTACTCGGGAGAGAGTTACGGTAATAAGAGTGCTCATGATCGGTAGAGAATACTTAGGCGAAATTATAGAAGACATAGCGGGAAGGATTCCGACAATAGGGAAAATCATAACTCTATACCTCCTTAATCTTTTCTCTAACCCTCAGTATCGTTAGTTGTTAATTTACTATTTTAATTTGTTAGTTAATTAGTTAAACAGAAGAATCTTAATATCTATAAGTTAGGAATTGTTCAAGCTTGTCTTCTTGGTGATAGTGAACAGCTGTAGCTAAACCTTAGTTCTCTGTGGGATTCGACTCCGGACTTGTAAACCGGATTATATTTGCAACGACCGCATTGTCCTTTTTATAAGGCATAGTTGGGCGTGATCAAACCTCTTCGTACTCTTTATCATGATACCGATGTCCATCACTAAGAGCCTATGCTGCATCGCTAGGGTCTCACCCGGTATAACTTTGCAGTCCCTGTACAGCCCTCTACCACACCTCCTGAGGAGGAGATAATCAATCTGCGTCTTCGTCGCCGCACTTTGGAAAGTAACCAGATGCTCCTCCCTCTTCTGAAACTAGAGTTCGCAATCACTAGCTCAAAAGCCTTAGTGAAATCCAACGGCGAAATACCTCCTCCGTTCCTATCCCCAAAATTGAAGCCTCCATGCACCTCGCCATAGCCGCCAGTAGTCGACCCGATATGACCATCGAAATCCCCTCCTAATAAACTCTCAGCAGGTGGAATACCACGCACAATCTCATCCAATCCCTCCCAAAAGCGCCTTTTAACCTCCTCATCCAAGCCCGCTTGCGGCGCGTAAGCGCTAACAACATTTCTGGTATACTCTCCGACCACTAACTTGATGGTCATTAATCTATCATTCACCCGCCTGACCTCTACCACAGACTCTCTAAGATCTCTATCCACCAAAATACCCACTCCATTCTTACCCTTCACAACTCCAGAGTACTACAACTTATACCCATTTGCATCCCTCGCCTTCGAACCTACCCACCTCGTCTCCTGAACACACACTATATTGACCTTCCTCTCCTAGTGAATCTTCGCCAGCTCTATAGACTTACCCGTCAAAGTACCTATGTTCTATGACCCAATTCTCAACCTACAGGCTCCCTTGAACCCCTTACCTCTCTTTCCCCCATCCCACCCCCTGACCCCTGCCCACCCTCCTACCCTCCCCGCCCACCCCGAGGACATGACCTTACTCTACCTCTCAGACCATAGCCATTATACCTACGACAGACTAAGGCAACTCAGTAGCACAAAACAGGCAACAGACCAAACTAGGAGAGGAGAAGTAGTCACTACGGCATGCTACTAGTATGACTAAACTAATGCGAACTAAAATGGGAACAAGTTAATTAACACAAAGAAGGGAACCGGAAGGTACCAACCCCCAAAAGTAGAACTTGGAAATTCGACTCGGTGCGCACTCGAGGTTACAGACACTAACGTGCTTCCTTTCAACTCCCACCGACCTTTGCAAATACCAACCAGGGCTGATCCCCGCTACTCGCTCGTCGGCAACTACCGCAGCTAACACCTGTAAAAATACACACGCCAACCACGAAACCAACGGGGGGAGAGGAGGCTGTCAACCTAGCACGGCTGCACTGGTGTTTAATTCTACAACAGCCCGGGTTGCCTAACTAAACACAGACAGATCGTCGACGATTGTGGCGGGGAGGATCGTAGAATTGAAGAGTCAAACACAAAAAGGGTCTCGCCGACAGAGACTGCGGGTTTCGGGGGGGGGGGGAGGGGGGGAGGAGCAGAAAGAGAAGAGAGAAGAAGAGAAGAAGGAGGAGAGAAGAAAGAGGAAAGAGGAAATATGAGAGGTGTCGCCGGCGGGGAACTAGGGGAAAACAAAAACAAAAGGGGAGAGGATAAAGAGGAAAGAGAAAGGGGTCGCCGGCTGGGAAACACCGGCGGGGAATTGGGAAAAAATAGAAGGGGGGAAAGCGTGGAGGAAAGAAGAAATGGGGGGGGGGGGGATTTAGTGAGAAGAAAGTGGGAGGAAAGAGGAGGGGAGAGGGGCGGCTTACTTGCGTGTGGTCACCGGCGTTCTCACCGGTGGGTGGGGTTGGTTGACGGAGAAGAAAGGGGTCCGAATAGAGAGAGGGAGAAAAATATCCGTGAGAGAGATGGGGGGGGGGGGGGGAAGTTGCAAACACTATCTAATTTTACAAAATAGATATAGCTATATCCTCTTACGACTGATCAAATAATTCCTTTAATTTAGAAATATTAATTTCATTTTACGTCAAAATTTTCTGCATTCTACAGCCCGAAACTTTTCCAATTCAAAATGGAAAAAAATAAATCAAAATAGCCTCTAATTGAAAATTTGTCACAGTTTCAAAAGTGATCGAAATTTAGCCACTTTTTTATGTAAATATAAAATCTGAACAAGAACACCCTTTAAAATCAGGAAAAATTCCAGGATAATATGTTGGAGTTCAAATTTTTTACATATGAGATTCCAACATAGTGTGCTGTAGCCTGGAGAACCAACATAATATGTTGGAAGTTTATACGCATGAGCTACATAATCCAACATATTATGCTGGAATTTTTTTTGGATAATTTACTTCCACGAATAGACTGTTAGGCTAAGAAAGAATAGGTTGGGGCCTTTCACTGTTGGAAACTTTGATTTGGATTGGTAGGATTCTGTCTAATCTTTCCTAATTTAGAAATTGGTTCCAACACTTAAGATTGACCGCCTCAACTGCGAGATATGAATGTTTTATAAATTTTATGGGACTACTTACTTACCTAAATTCACTTTCAGCTTACCAAAAAAGTTGGCTGAAGGATCTGACCTAAGCATAACACTCACTTTTCGTGTTGTAGCTAGGATATTATTGTCGAGACTCGAGATTTATCTCGACATAAAATAGTAGCTATTTTTCAATAACTTGATATAATATTTTCTAATTATCGATCTAAAAGTTGGCTAGCCCATTTTGACATTCAAAACCCAAAAAAACCAGCCCAGTAGAATCTTGATTCTATAATCAAACTGAGAATACCGAGATTTTCTCAACAAAATTTGATCAAAACCCCTTTCAAGAAACAAAAAATTACATCAAAATCAAATCTGTTCATGCATCATTCTGTGATAAATTCCACACACCCATAAAACCCCAAGAGCGAAGAACAAACATAAAATAACTTTTATGGGGCAAAACACAGGCGCAAGTGGGAAAGGCAAGAAAGAAGAGGAAATGAAAAAGGAAACAGTAGAAGAAGAAGAGGAAGTGGAAGAAGGTGGGGAAGAAGAAGGAGAGCAAGACGAACAAGATGGCATGTCCGTACATTCTCCTTGTAAACCTCCTTCTTCTGCTCTTCGTAAGGTATCCTTTTTCTTCATTGTTTTTTTTTTTTAGGATTGTTGTGTATGTATCATGTGTATGTTATGTTTTAGATTATATAATTTATTAATTGTAAACTAGTTGGAGTCAGCTATATAAATCATTTTCTATATGATGGTGGTGTCCTGGGCAGCTCGCGCGTACCTAGATTATTCCACCAGGTACTAGGTACCTGCACCTCTTAGTGCAGATACCGGGTAACTCTGTCTATCAAGCTTGAGACGATGGGAAGGAATTAGCTACTGTTTTTTACGTCCACTAGGATTCGAAAATGAGGCCTCATGGTTTCTCCTCCCACTTTATTGACCATTAGACCAAACGCTTCGCTCCGCTCTATGAATCATTTATGTTCATTTTGCTCCATTTGTGTCTCTTTCATTTCGATACTCAGTAATTAAGATGATATAGGTACCCTTTTCCCCATTATGATATGTTGTGTTTGTATCATGTGTATGTTGATGTGTTAGATTATAGAATTTATCAATTATTTTGTTTCTTTTCTGAGCATGTTTATTTTCGAGCTACAGGAGCAATCACAGGTGGAATTGGAGATAAGATTGTTGGAGGCTCTTGAAATCTATCCTCCTGCCAAATTGAGAGGTATAATTTGTCATTTTTTATGTCATTACACATTTTATGTGTATCCTCTTTAATTAATTGCCTTATGTCTTGGTGTGTTTTCGTTATTAAAGCTGAAAGGTGGAAACTTTATCATAGTTTGTCTAGTTCAGAAGTAAAATGTGGTGGATAAGAACTCGTGGTATAATCTGGAACATGTTGAAGTTCTATTGTAATTGAGGTGCTTTGATTACTATGGTTTGAAGAAATTTAATGCATTGCGCACCTTAGCGCACAGTTTTACCGTTATACTTAGAGCTCTGCTTTTGTAGTAAATAATAATGTAGGTTGTTATGCCGTGGCAAAATAGACCTTCTTTCTTTGACTTTAAAGCAAGATATTTGGGAAGTAACAATTCCATTCAGTTTGCTTTTGGGAAACATGCTGGTCATGGAGTAGTTCGTTCTATGCCACCAGCAGCCTCAACTCAAAGGCGCATGTTGATCTCTCTGGTTGAGTTTGCATCTATTTAATCTTATTCAACTAGAATACATGGGAAGGGCGTCCTTTACTAGTGGCTCGGCTTGGTCTCGCTTCCTTCCCGCACTATTCCTCCCCATTAAAAAGAGCGATTGAGAATCTCAAGAAGCTCACCCAATGTCTGTCTTTGTGAGGCGATTGGAAAAGAATTTATTGCGTTCCATTCTACTATTCTGATCAAATTAATTTCTCTTCCAATTGATCAAGCCGTAGTGAGATAAAAAATCGACGCTTCCAGCATTCAAAATATGCCGGGATTGAAGATGACACAATATTCATGCCGTGAATAGCAATATACGAATTGTTATGCAGTGGATAACAGATGAACTACCTAAGTTTAAGGATGTTTTTGTCTTTAAATAATTTTATCCACGTACTTCTAGTTCACGTGTTGTTATTCTGCATTATGGCCCGCATAAATAATAAATGTATTCCCACAAAAAGACATGTGGATATTAAACTTATTAGCGAAAACTAAACCCTATATTACTTATGGGGATATCATTTTTTATGAACTAATGATGCATTAGTTATGCGCATATTATTTTTTCTTATGCACCCCAACCAAACTTCGTCATACTTTATGCGGAGATTTGTTTGCTAACTTGGCCAACCAAATGATGCCTAAGTATATGTAGCATGCTATTAAATAGAGTTGTAGTCACCCCCTTTTTTCCGTAATAATATAACACTTTCTGGATGCTGTTCTGTTAATAAAATTTTATATTACTCAAAAATAAAAAGGTATATGCAGCATGCCTGTGTATAAATGGAGCTAGGTATAACTGGATATAGGTAGATTATAAACAAAGTAACATACAATAATTGGAGCTAGGTAGGAAAATCCTCTACATGCTCGCATAAAGATGGAGCTGCATAGTTGTTTTCAAAGCTTAATTTGATTGAAGCATTTGACTTTGTAGTATCATAGTTGCTTACATGATTCTTAACTTTGATCTAATATCTGGCTGGATTATATACTTGGATATCATCTCGGTGTTTCCTGATGTTGCAAGATTCTTAGTAATTATTGCTCTATACCTAGATTGTACAGAATTAATTGCTTTCATGCTATTTAGCTGCGAGATTATGTTATCTGTAACAGAGAGCGATTTAGCTAAGTCGGCATATCTTTTAATTTTATTATCTCTGACACAATAATAGATACTATATCTATTACAATATAACCGTCGAAATAGTAAAATGTAGTGATAGAGAAGAAAAAGTAGCTGTAATCATAAGAATATTCTTGGATTTTTTTCTTTTTTTTAAAGTTTCTGAAGGGCAGAGTAGCTTGCATTAAATTTTGCTAGCTGCTTTTAACATGTTCACCTTGATTTTTATTGCAGGCATACATCGTCATTTTGTCCTTTACGGCTTAACAGAATATCTGCGTAGAAGGTTACTAGGCTACTTTTTGTCCTTTTCTTTTATTAACTCTCTTCATTTAGGGTTGTTAATGAACTTAGGTCGTGCCGCACTCTCAGAAAAGAAATAAGAAAAAACGAGGCACATGTGAAATTAACGTACTTACCAACCTCCCCCCCCCCCCCCCCCAAAAAAAAAAAAAAAACCCCGCTCACACGCGTGCACGTGCACACACACATGTAGATAGAGAGTGTGAGGCGTTTGGTTTAATCTTTATGTGACTGTATCTTTTGTCTTTCGACATTGAATTTACTGTCACAGCTTCAATAGGCAATTTGCTCCTGATGATGTTTTGAAGCTGCTGGATCGCTTCTACAACTTGGAAATGGTGGTATGTATTATTGGTTTGCTTTCTATTTGACTTCAACCGTTATAACTTTTCCGTTATTCAGTAATTGACCTTGAAAGGCTGCTCACTGGAGCAGGAGAATTACATATATATAAAGCCATTCTTCCTGCTCTATGATTAGCAGGATCAAAATGGACGCACTGAGCCATCATAGTTGGTCCAGTTTTCTCCAATAGACTAAGATTAGGACATTGAAAGCGACATCAAGGAGACAAATCTCTTCAGTTTGTTGCTAAATTCTGGCCCTATACAACAGACATCCTATTGATAATTGACCAGGAAAGAAAGAGATTGAAATACTTCAAAGAGAATTTGTTTGACTGCATAATTTACCTTAGTAGTTATGTAGTGCACATTTTGAATAAGCCATTTATATTACTGTATTTTTCGATTTATATATCATAGGACCTTCAGAGTCTAAAGGAAACAGCCTCTGTGCTCGCCCAGGGTAGGGGTAAGGTCTGCGTACACCCTCCCTCCCCAGACCCTACTTGTGGATCCTACTTGTGGAAATCCACTGGGTTTGTTGTTGTTGTTGTTGTATATACCATAGGACCTTCAATGTAGGCCTAGTTATCTCTATTTCATAGGCTAGAATCTTGGTTTTGTGGGGCAAATTCTTCTTGGAGTGACGGGGGATGAGCGTTCTTACTCTGATGTCCTTTTTAACTAATTTCAGAAACCAGATGATGAGGATGCAGAACTCCTAAATCAAGAGGAAGAATTTTCGTTGCCGGAGAGTTATTTCTCGAAGGAAGAATCTTGAACGAGTTTGAAATCGATATGGATTTTGGACTTCACCTCTGGCAATTCTTGTATAGTAGTATCAGAATGGTTAAATTCTTTTTGTTCTTGTTGCCATAATCAATCTGGTACTCTTTTCTTGAATCTTCTTAAATTGGCAAATTCTAAACCTTACTGAAATTTTTGTATGCATGCTGAGAATTGATTTCAGCTTTCCTAATACAGACAGTTGATCTTTTTACATATTTTCTCTTAGAGACTCCATCCCCCCCCCCCAAAACCCTTCTTTCTGTACTTGGAGATGTTGTGAAGCATCAAAATTCCCCATGCTAAGAGATTTTCTGGATAAATGTGATCACTTAAGGAGTCTGACTGATCAAGATTACTGAATAAATCGGAATGTAATTCGTTTATTCTATTGCATAATGCAAATGTACAATGGCTAGAGAACTTATTTCTACTAGTATAAAACAGAGTTAGTTCAGGCATTGTTCCTTTCCCTAAGATGTTTAAATAGCTTCATGTTCATGTGGCACAATTTCGAGTGCCCCAAAGGGATGACTTGGGGGTTGAAGAGCGTGGAATTACGAGGGAACCAAGGTCCGAACAACTGACTTTCATGGTTTTCATGTGATTATATGTATTATTTTCTCAATTATGTATTCACCAATATCTTGGCCATCTGACCAAGGAGCATCGTGTTCGCTTTGAAGCAACTGTATGGTACTGGCATTTTCAGTAGAGACAAAACTAGGTGCACTTTTCTCAACCATGGAACTAGTCCTCTAATTTCGTTGCTGAAGGCATTCATATTAACAGGTAGATAAAACTGGAAAACCAAAACCAAAACGGTGAATCAAGAATGTTACAGAGGAAAACAACTGCGCTGATTTTTCAGTCTAACAAAATCGATAGTTTGTGTTAATGTATGCATTTTTATTCTAAAGAAACAGTAAAGTTGTCTCCGTGTGACCTATAGGTCACGGGCTCGAGCCGTGGAAGCAGCCACTAATAGTTGCATTAGAGGCTGTCTGCATCACATCCCATTAGGGTGCGACCCTTCCCCGTATCCTGAGTGAATGCCGGATACTTTTTTTTTTTAAAGCAAAATGCGGGATACTTTGTGCACTGGGCTGCCCTTTTTTTTGCTTTGGTTTTCTTGTTATCTTGCTGATGTTATAGTCTGTTGCTACTGCTTCTTTTGCATCTTTCCCTGTGCCGATAGTCTATCAAAAACAGTCTCTCTACCTTATTAAGGTAGGGGTAAGGTATGCGTACACACTACCCTCCCCGTACCCACTCGTGGAATTACATTGGATTTGTTATTGTTGTTCTATTCTAAAGAAACAGTCAACTGCTAAGAGAATAATTGGACCGATATGTATCAAAATATTTAGCATTCATTTCCTTTCGATATAATGGAAGTAAGAATCCATAATCTCAAGATCATTATCTTGCTCCTTGACAAAAGCAAGGATATAACAAAGGCTCAAATCCATTAAAAAAATATTAATTAATACAAAACATGCCCGCAGTTTAGATTCGTAACTCTTCCACAATTAACAACAAGAGTAGTTCAACAACAAAAAAAGCAAGGAATAAGTCTCAAAACTAGTAAAAAGAGCAGCTGATGAATTGCATCTTCTTCTGATGAGGCCATTGCAAAATTATGTAAGCAGTTCTATCTTGCAAAGATGGGAAAAAAAATCTGTAGTAATTTCTTGCGCGTATCGACTATTGCTTAGCTTTTGATGCCTCCTGTAATAATGCCAAAAAAATACAAATTTAAGTTAGCAGAGTAAAATATCCTAAGCCGAGGGTCTATTGGAAACAACCTCTCTATTCTCAGAAGGTAGGGGTAAGCTCTGCGTATACACTACCCTCCCTAGACCCCACGGTATGGGATAATACGGGGTATGTTGTTGTTGTTGTAGAGTCAAAAAATGTAAACTTTAAAAATGGAAATAGGTCAAGTTAATAACTCACTTCAGTTTCAGCAGCTTTGGCATCTGCAGATTTTGGTTCATCAGCCTTCACATTCTCTTCACCTGTACAAAAAGTCATCTTGAGTATTGTTTCCAAAAGAGTTCTATGCACTGACGGCGTAAAGAATATTCACTAAATCAGGTCATTTATGAGGTAATTACAAGTAAATTTCTATGATACGCATTATAAAGTAACTTAATGAAAGTGGTACTTATCCTGCTGAGCTATGAATTTTTTTTTTAACATATTAGTCTATATATATAGAATTTGGCCCAAAGTTACTAGATTCTGCTTAAACCATATCTTAAAGCCTACATCCAACCCCAGTTTGCATTACTATAATTTCATAGTTACAGTAGAAATAGTTCTATATCACATAGACCTCAAAGATTTTGAAGATGTATGATGTGTGAGTTGCCGAGAGTCTAGCGGAAACAATATCTCTGTCCTCCTAAGGTAGGAGTAAGGCTTGCGTAAACTATCCTTCCCAAACACCACTTGTAGGAATTCACCGGGTTTGTTGTTGTTGTTGTTGTATGATGTGAGACTTATGCTTGATATGGTATGGTGTTTATAGAGTTAAGAGATACTTCAATGGCGCTGGATTACATTCTATATCATTTATTTGGATAATAGAATTACCTCCATCTTCAGGCAAATCAGAGGTCCATAGTGTGAGATTGTCTCTCAACAGCTGCATGATTAAGGTACTGTCCTTGTATGATTCCTCACTTAAAGTGTCTAACTCAGCTATTGCCTCATCAAAAGCTTGTTTAGCCAAGTGACAAGCCCTGCAAAATTGAATTGTCAATCTACATCATCTTATCAAAGGGGAGCCTTGGGGTAAAGTTGCTTCCATGTGACCAGGGTTCGAGCCGTGGAAACAGCCTCTTGCAGAAATACAGGGTAAGGCTTCGACCCTTGTGGTCCAGCCCTTCCTCGGACCCCGCGCATAGCGAGAGCTTAGTGCACCGGGCTGCCCTAATCTACATCATCTTATCATATCATATATTTTCAAGAATAATCAAAATTGGTTATGAAATGCTACCTTTCGGGGGAGTTCATGATCTCATAGTAGAAAACAGAGAAGTTCAAAGCAAGACCAAGCCGGATCGGATGTGTTGAAGAGAGATCAGTGTTTGCAGTTGCAGTAGCAGCCTAAAAGGAGTAAAAGGGATGCAAAATCAAGTGCTGGTCTAAGTAATGTGCATCGATTAATCGACTAATCGTGCAGTTTCAGTTAGAACAGAAGAAGAATTAACTTGCCTCATAGCCCTTCAATGATTGTTCAGCAGCCTCTTTCCTTTCAGAATCAGTCTTGAACTCAGCAAGGTAACGGTAATAGTCACCTTTCCTGCACCACAGAGAGAAATATAAGAACCTAAATCTATCAGAAATATACTGAAAACTGAAAGAACTCGGTTGGGACCAGCTGCTAAGGACATCAAGAATCTCATATCCTTCTTATGGAGGGCCCGAGACATCAGTGAGATACCATTCTGGAACGATTAGAATTCTAAGCTTGTGTCAGGAACTACAGGCCAAGGGGCAATCTCGGTTAGACAGTTACTATAGGGCGTATAGGTGGGGAGCTAGCACTGACGATACGGGTCTGGCCGAACCCAGTAACTTTGGTCCAAACCCTATATTTGTCTCAAGTAATCCACTTAATGGGTGCAAAAAGTACTAGAATTTTGAACCCATAAACTTTAAATCCCGGCTCCGCCTCTGCTTAGGCCTCCCAAAAGGTATCAGAAGCATGTGCAAAAGCTTACTCACGCCGAACAAAGATTGGTCCTCGAGTGCTAAAATGATCAAAATAAAAAGGATCGAACTACCTACTCATTATTCGGAGTTGAATCATTGAACACCAAAAGCTGTGGTATTTTATGGACCTGACATGGGTCACATACCTCACGACATAAATTGAAAGATCCAAACCTTCTTCTTCGGAGTGGAAAAGGACGTGGCCAAAACATATAAGATCGGCCTAGTCACTCATAGGGACATATCTATCAGGATAGACGATAGTCTAGGCCGATTCATAAATAGACCTCTCTCCATATAGATAGGTATCTTAGAAGGGGTTTACTTGGGCTGAAGGGAGATTGACCCTTGAGTGCAAAGGCAGAAGGGAGCTTAACTTCAAGACTCATCTGTCGAGACAGACGTTATCAAGGTTATAGGAAATTTTGACTTACATTTTGTAATAGAAGACAGTAGCTTCACCAGTACCGGCAGATGGAATAAGATGTTTGTCAATGATATCAAGAATGTCAGAGCAAATCTTGGAGAGCTCTTCTTCTACCTTTTGACGGTAGCCTTTTATCAGCTTGACGTTGTGCTCGTTCCCTTTCGATTCTTCCTTCTGTTCAATGGAAGACATAATTCGCCACGAAGCTCTTCGAGCTCCAATGACATTCTTGTAACCAACAGAAAGCAAGTTCCTTTCTTCCACTGTCAATTCCACATCAAGTTTTGCTACTTTCTTCATACTCTCAACCATTTCTGTGAAATCAAACCAATGTACAATCAAGATTCTTACATTCCGTTTAAGAGATCAGATAAGATGAGGAGAAGCGCTCGCTTTAGGACTTAAGCGCGTCTTTGATAACACTGAATGAGATATTTCAATCTTTAGCCAGAAGCATTATTCCAAATTGATGAGAATTTCAACCTTTAGCCAGAAGCATAATTCCAATGAAAAGGCAAGAAACTCTACTCCGTTAAGTGTTCACTGTGTTCCTCATTTTATATTTGGATTATATAGCCTCAAACAACCACTATTGATCAATGTGTACCAACAAAAAGAAGGTGCAGTACATTAATTAACCATGAAATAAGGAATTAATTTTACGTAAAAGACACATGTCATGCATTTATTGCTTTGATGCATGTACCACGAGTGAGAATATTTTTTCGCTCGCATGCACATGTACCCCATATACTCCATTTCCCAAATCTTGTACATAGAAATTACCAATACAAAGATGCAGTTGAATCTAGCATACAAACAATAGGTGCACGTACAATTTATATATAAAAAACTTAAAAGGAAACATAAAGTCTTAAAATGCAAATATTACTACACATACTGCCTTTAAATCAAGAATCCGTCTTAGGTACAAAAAATATTAATGAAGCACAATTAAGTATAGATAATTAAGCAAGCTGAAGAAAGAAATATTGAAGAGGGAAAAGAAATGAAACCATCATAACGCTCGGCTTGTTCAGCGAGTTTGGCCAAGTAAACATGAGTTTCTCTCTCTTTTTGGGACGCCATTTTCAATTCTAAAAAGCAAGAAAAAAGCTAGGATGTAATTAAAAGGAATATGATAGAGATCTTCAAATGGTGAAATATCAAATTAAAATAGAGTAGAATATTTCAAGTTTACAAATGAGAGAGAGATGAAAGTTTTTTGAGGAGTTAAGAAGGAAAGGAAGAGCGTGAGAAAAGGGAAGATTAATGAATAAGGATGAATTGTGGGAGGATTGACTAAATCTCCATCTTTGGATCATTACTACTACACCATTGATAGTAAAATTGGTAGACCATGAAAATCGTAACTTAAAGGGATAAAATTTAATTTTTGGATTTAACTTGTACTATACATTAACGGTGTGAAAACAATATTTTCACTAGCATTATATATTTTAATATAAGTAACGAATTATTTGCACCGTACGATTATTGCCCTGTTATGAGGTTACTATTAAAATTTTGTCCCTATAGCTTAGTGGATTAAATTTCGCCTTTAAATAATCGTTTTACAAGTAAATTTAGCTTACCGAAATAGCCGATACAGAATTGAATAATGGTCTAAAAAAGGCCAATTAATTCTTGTTTCCTAAAGGGAGTAGGGGTGTTCAAAACCGAATCGAAACCGAAAACCGAACCGAAATCGAAGCTTAATGGCATTGGTATCGGGTTAACAGTTTAACGGACGAGGAACTGATTGAAATTTTTTATTAACGGCTTAGCGGTTTGGGGGCAGCTTATTCAATTTTCTTAACGGATAATCCGTTAACCCGTTAAGTATATATATATATACATATAAAATTTATTTTTATCCGTGTATATATTAAATAATCAAAAACCCATCTTCCTCCAGTACTCTATCAAAGTGAATTAGAATAAAAGAAAGCCAAATAAAAGGAGTCATCTAACTGTGACAAAAGACAGAATTTGCTGTCTGAAACAAGATAACAACACCAGTTACACCACTATTTCATCAAGTTTGCCTGGTTTTTAAGGTATCCTAGAATTCAAAGCATAACGAACATTTGTTTTAACAACGACCAATTGGAAATCTTTCACATGGACTAAGGTCAATGTGCATAAACATAAATAAGATTCTAGACAGATGATTTACCCATCACGGTGTCTCTTCTGCTTTGCCCCTCTTAGTACGTCGACCACCTATTTAAACATACAGAGACTAAATTTTATTTTATTTTGATTGAATTAGACCGATAAATCGCCCGATAACCGTCCGATAAGAGCTAAACCGATACCAATCTGCCCGATATCTTATCGGGTGGCTAGCGGATTAATACATTTAAAAGCCGATAACCGATAAGCCAAACCGTTAAGAGTAAATAACCGCCCAATCCGCTCGATAAGCCGCCTTAAAAGGGAGTGATGACTTTCACTTTTGTAACATCTCAATTTTTTTTTCCTTCATTCAACAAGTTGGTAACTAACATAATTTCTTCTGAGGCATGATACCATGATATTGAGACATGTAATCATGGTTCCCAACTATCACATACTAATATTTTAGTTCCTTCTTTTTTATTATTTTCGTTTTGTGGTTTTATTTTATTTCTATAAACATGTTTTTGTTTCAACAAGATTCTTATATCCCTCAACTTCATGTTTTAGCTCTTACATTTTACATATACCACAGTTCATTATTTGTACAGATAATCAGGATATAGTCTAGAAAAAGTAATTAAGCGGCAGATTAAGGGATTTGGAAGATTTGATAAATTTTTCGACACAAAAAACATCTTATTAGTTACGCCAAGCAAGAAATCACAATTTCTAAATCTAAAGGTTAAAAATTCTCACTGAAAAAAATTGGTATGAAAACATTTGGGACGACATAAATAGTCTTTTGTGGTGATCGGGTGACCCGTGACCCTATTTCCAGCCACATATTATTTATATTTAAAATTTAAAAAGGTTAAATTACAGTAAACACATTTGTAATATGATTTTGCTCTAGATGCGTACCTTGTATTTTAACATAATATACTTAGCCTCCTTATACAATGACAATTATACTAATTACTAGTTTGATGATATTTTCACTTTCGGCAAAGGGTAAAATATATTCCTGTACTATGAGAAAAGGCTTAAATATACTATTCGTTAAACTTTGGGTTCAAATATATCCTTGCCGTAATATTATTGGTTCAAATATATTCTTCTTCTGTTAAGTTTGTTCAAGGTGGACATCCAATCCTGCGTGACACTGATATTTGATGAGGTGGATACCACATGGCATGTCGCTTTTGCTCCCCTAATCCATATATTAAAGATTAAAATTTGAAGCACAATATTTTTCATGTAGCGGTAATGGTGGCAATAGTGGTGGAGGGGAAAGAAATTTTAGTGGTGAAAAAAAATAGAAGGGAGGGGTAAAATGGGTTAGGGCGATGAGGTGGCAAGCCGTGTGGCATCCACCTCATCAAATGTCGGTGCCACATAGGATTAGATGTTTACTTTGGACAAACTTAACGGAAAATGGGTATATCTGAACCAATAGTATAGTGACAGGGATATATATGAACTTAAAGTATAACGAGAGTTACATTTAAACCTTTTTCTCATAGTACACGAGTATATTTGACCCTTTCGAATTAATTTTGAAGTGTTTAGTTTTTGAAGAAACTTAAGGTATACCCGTCACTATAAATATATTAAAATAAAATAACTAAAAGCCAAGATAAAATTACAGATAAAGAGTCCTTTTATGAAACTTAAGAAAGAAATTCGACATTTTTGATGAAAATTTTGATTCACCCTATTGATTAAAAAGAAAAATTAAAACTTATTAATAATCTTAAAAAAAATGACCACAAATGATTTTAAAAGATGCATACCAAATCCCTAAATTCAAGTCGAAAAAAGAAATCCCTAAATTCAAGAAGAAGAAAAAACTAAATCCCTAAATTAACCAAACAAAAAATGCTTTTGGCTTTTCTCCTTATTCCGCCATTGAAGCCAAACCCAAAACCCCAAAAATTTTGGGTTCTTCCAAATTCACTCTGCCATTGAAAGATCCTAAGGTTGAGATTTACTCTGGCTGTGCTTGCTGCTGAAAAGGTCACATTCTACATCTACTCATTAGTGCTAATATTGGTGAATTGGTATTTGAATTTGCATATATCAGGTTAATGAAATGAAAAATGTTTTCTTTTGCAGATTTTGATGATCAGAAAGATTGATTGATTGTAAATTAGGAAATATTCTTTTAATATTTTTGAAATGGAGAAAGGGAGTTATTGCCTCTCTGCCATGTCAGCGTCAAATCTCGTACTTCTCTTCACCATTGGCGTGGTCACAATAGTTATGATTCGAATTATGTATATTGTATATCGGAGAAGCAAACCGCTCAATCCAAAATCACCACAACCTCTCAGTACCCTTATTGTTTTGGGTTCAGGTCTGATTTTCCAGCATTTTATTACTACCTCTGTTTCAATTTATGTGATCTAGTTTGACTCGATGCGGAGTTTAAAAAAAAAGAAACACTTTTGGAAGCTGTGATCTTAAAAAACTTTAAGGATAAAAGCTTTTGTCATTTTCTCAATTTGTGTGGCTAGAAAAGTTTGTTGGGTAATATGGGTAAAATTGGAAGTTTAAGGTTAAATTGTATCCAAATATAGAAATATTTCATTCTTTTGGAAAGGACTAACAAGTAAAGTGTGTCGCATAAATTGAAACCGAGGGAGTATCTTTTTAGGTTTTGCTGTCTTTTGCTCATCCCATTGTTTTTTTATGTTTTTGAAACCTTGATTTTAATACAGGTGGTCACACAGCAGAAATGCTAAATTTATTAAATGTGCTTCAAATGGAAAGGTTTAAGCCAAGATTTTATATAGCTGCTGCTACAGATAATATGAGTCTCCAAAAGGCACGCGTATATGAGGATTCCTTGCTTGATAAGGTATGTTACAATGGCTAAATTCAGTTTGTCGTTATATTCCGTTTGTGTTGTTTTGCTGGGTCAGCTTGAATGGTACCATCATGACAGCCTATTACAATGAAAACGCAACCTGATGGTGGAATGTAATATATGTTTTGCCTGTTTCTCTGACCAAGAAATTAAAAAGGTTTTTGCATTAGGGTGCAAATGACTAGGAGACATTTCCTAGAGAAGTAGTTTGGCAGACAATAAATTGCTTAATTTAATGAATCTAAATATCGCCAGCTACTGAATATTTTGTTCGGTAACAGATATAGTCAAAAAACTTTGTTGCCAATGGTGTAAATTAGGAAATAATGACTGCTTGAGGTACAGTCAACCTCCTCAAAATGATTAGTACTTGAATGGTTTCGAAACTTCATGTGCTCCATACATGCTATTTAAGCCAACTTACAACTTTTTTTTTTGTTTTTGGATAAAGTAAGCGATTTCAATAGAAGGCATCAAGAAGATGTGAGAAGTACATGATTTAGCATTTGAGCTTACAAAAAGTTATCCCGGCCCCTATACGTAACTGGCTAAGCCAGATCAAAAGAGCTAATGAAATCCAAAAGATGGTCAATATAACTAACAGGGTACAATAAGACCACCAAAACAAGTTAGCAATAACATAGCCTTTAAAGAGCATATAGGAGTTGAGTTTCCATCAAAATATCTCCTGTTTCTCTTTGTTCAAATGCACCAAACTATACATGCAGGGACCATCATCTAGATCTTCTTAATGGCTTTACCAACTCTCCATAAACTCCAGCTCTTATAAGCATTCTTTACCGTGTAAGTGGTGATCCATTTGAGACCCAAAAAGAAAAAATCGTATATCTGTAGCCACCTCACAGTGTAGGAGCAAGTGACAGGTACTTTCATCTTCCTTTTGGCACATGTAGCATCTATTAGGTAATGGGAAGTTCCTTTTCATCATATTATTCTGAGTGGGACATGCCTCATATGTCCATGAGAAACAAATTAAATGGAATCACTGAAGTCTTGGTTTGTTTGAGGCTGCAAAAAAAAGGGCAGTCCGATGCACTAAGCTCCCGCTATGCGCGGGGTCCGAGGAAGCTCATTCTCTCTACTTTAACAAAACCATCATGGAAAGTAAGATTTACTTCGTAGCTGGGAACAAATCTTAAGATATTACAGGGAAACCCCCACAAACTCAGAAGCTTCTGCAATGGATCTGTCTGCAATTAAACAAAGCATCGGAAGCTGAAGGAAACATCTACGGGAAATGAAAAATCACAAATTCCTAGCTAGCTTCATTTTTAGGAATTCATAGCTAGCTATCATTTCTAGCAATTCTAGCTATCGCTTCTAGGAATTCATAGATATCATTTTGAGAGATTCCTAGCTAGCTATCATTTCAAGGAATGCATAGCTAGCTATCGTTTCTAGCAATTCCTAGCTATCATTTCTAGGAATTCATAGCTGGCTATCATTTCTAGAAATTCTTAGCGAGCTATCATTTGTAGGAATTAATAGATATCGTTTCTAGGAGTTAATAGCTATAATTTCTAGAAATTCTTAGCTATCATTTCTAGGAATTCATGGCTATCATTCCAAGGAATCCGTAGCTATCATTCCTAGGAATCTGTGGCTATATTTCTAGGAATTCCTAGCTATCATTCCCAGGAATCCCTTGCAATCATTTCTTGGAATTCCTATTAATGATAGCTGGAAATTCAGAACTATAATTTCTAGGAATTCGTAGATGTCATTTTTAGCAATTTATTACTATTATTTCTTGGAATTCGTTACTATCATCTCATATATGGATTTGAGGATTTTTATAAGATCAGTTGGAAAACTTGAAGAGGGTTCGGACATCCTGATGTATCTCTCAGTTTTTTTTTAGACTTGCAACACCTTGTTGGTAGATTTAGAAATAAAACTTTGTTGATGATATTTCGAGAGCACCACTTTAGGTCTTGTTAGCAAAAAAAAAAAAAAAAAATTCCTTTTATAGCGCAACAAAGAATAAACAAGATGAATAGGTGTGTATTAATGGGTGTATTTCTGAAAACTACATTCGTTCTTGAATTTTTGTCAGTATTATCAACATATATTTAATACATGATGTGTTTATTCATTATTGAAATTGGGTGCGAAAATAGTGTGTTAGCGGCAAGTGTTGGTTATAAAAGACATGTCTTTTCAAGAAGATAAAGTAGTTGAGTAGAAATTCACCACTTTGAATAAATTTAAAATGTTTGAGAAAAAATTATTTATCTTTCTTTATGAAATTTCATAAAATTGAATTTTGAGTACCCCATTCTATTTTGGCACGTTTTTTGCTCTTTCCTAATGAAATTAGTTACCTATCAATATTTTTTAGTACTTCATTGTGATTAATATGATGCGGATGGACAAGAAAATTTGATAATGCAAACTGCAAGAAAATTAAACAAAAAATAGAAATCTTTTGAAGGAAAAAAGCACAACAAAATAAAGTAAACCAATACATAATGGCTATCAATCAACGAAATATATGATCATTAGTTACAAAATGACCGAATGTCAAAACAATATATACATGATGCGACCATTTTGTAACTAATGACCGTATGTTTTGTTGATTACGTACATTTTGTATTGATACTTCATTTTGGTATGTTTTTTGGAACCAATGGACCCAGCATTCCTTGAAATGATACAGATTAGAAATTTCGAACTAATAAGGAATGCATGCAGCTTTTCCTAAATATACCAATTAATACACAACTACTCATGTGCTTGTTTACTCTTTGTTGCATAATAAAAGAAAGGTCTTTGTTAACAAGTCGTTAAGTGTGATTGTTCTCGAAATATAAAGCCAACAAAGTGCTATTCTCTAAACCTACCAACAAAATGTTGCAAGTCCCTTCTCTTTCAAGTCTTCCAACAGATCTTTTAGATATTATCATTGAAAAAGTCCAGTTGGCAGACAGACCAAGAAGGTCGTTAAACAGAATTTCTTGACTGCAAGTCTTAATTAGTGATGTTCATTTTTGCAATATATTACATGGAATTTATTTTAATTTTTTGTGGCCATCCATATATACGAGATTGAGTTACGAAAGTAAATATTATTGATCTAGTCAGAAAAGACATTATTGTTTTTGAAAACCAATTAACATTATTGCAGTCAGTTTGGGAATTGAAATATAGTTCGTCCTGTTTAAGGCATACTTTCTTACGACTTTTAAACATATAAATATCATTTTAAAAATAAATAAATCGATCCTCGTTTAGTTTCAGTTGGGAATTAATCAGTCCCGAAAAGCAACACGTATATACATATTAATTTTGACAGTGTTTCCTGCTTTTTGTAGAAAATTAACGTCTGAAAGAACACCTCATCTCAACTAGAGGATGCCACCTTGTGCAAATGTAACTAGCTGTACTATCTCTTCTCATCCTGAATAGCTTGTTTCTTTCCAGCTGATGATGTTGAAGAATTTATCTTCTTAGAAAAAATGAATGGTGCATGTAGCACTATAGTGCTTTGGTTGGTGTTAGAAGTGAAGAGTAACAAGTTTTACGGGTTGATCCCACAGATAATAGTATGCCTGTTGGTTATAGTTGCCCATAGTTGCCCATGATTTATTCGCATTGACTAATGGTGATGCGTGTGCCTTCATTAGCTAGATGCTATCTGTTTTGACATCCAAGTTGCTATCTCCCTCTCCATCTGCTCAATTATTTGTCCTTGCATCGCTGGCTTGAAGGATGATCCAAGTGTTAACCATAGTCTAAATTCTTTACTGACAAGGATCGCAAGTCAGGGGCTAAACAAATGGAGAAAATTTCTGACATGAATAAGCTGAGTTTAGCATATGAAATTGATGTCTATGTGATGGCGAATTGAACTTTAGGTCCAACTCAACAGATTCTTTTCCCACTTCCATCTCATTTTTGTCCAAATAGGTGGACAAATACTTTTTGAAATCATAAAATAGTTTGCATTCTTTTTTCCTTCTTCTTTCATGTTTCAAGTTTACAGGGAAGGGTAAGGTGAAAAAAGAACTACCTGACTCTGTTGTGTGCATCTAGAGCTATATCCTACATCTGTTTAGTTTCTCTTTCATGACCACATGGTCAGGTGGCGTACTTCCATTTTATGCCTATCTGGTAGGCTAAATACATTTTGCTTACACTTGTCAAAGTCTTTCTCTTATTGTTTGGTTTATCCATAGGAAAACGTTATCTCACTTATTGTCTCAATAATGTTGAGGCTGAAAAAGAGAAAAGTATGCATATGTGTGCAATCTTTTCCTTTTTATGCTAAAAACATTTAGCTATTACATGCCTGCCCAGCTTTGTCCTATGGTATATGCATTTGTCCTTAGAGCTCAACAATGATCTCACTTTTCTAAGTACTCTGGAATCATCAATTCCAGGTTAAGAGAAAAGTTCGTTTTCTTTTATTACCTTACTTTCTACCACAACATATGCAACCTAGTAGGTTGTCTACTCCATCCTTCTCCCCCTCTAAATTTTTATTGTTTAGATAATGGAAGAGGGTTGCAGTAGGTTATTGGCCCTCGTAGAGATAGTGAACTTTGCGAATCTCTGAATGTTGAGCCTGAATAGAGCAAAATGAATGCCGAGAATTCATGTAGCCGAGCCAACTAGCTTTGGATTGAGGCATAGTTTATTGATTTGATTGATCCCTGATAATGTGTATATTAACAGGTTCACCTCTTAATCTAGGCAGGAGTAGATGCAGTAGGAAGGGCTGAATTCATGCAGATATATCGGAGTCGAGAAGTTGGTCAATCATATATTACCTCCATTGGGACAACATTGATTGCTATTGCACATGCGTTGTGGTTGATGATCAAGATCAGACCCAAAGTGGTACCAGACAATCTTAGTTCATTTTACTTTCTCGGAAACCCCCTCTCCCAATGCGACTTTTCTGCATTTCCAGATTCCTTTTTCCTTTTAAAATCCTGTTTAACTGATTTATATATTTTTTGATATCCCAGATCTTGTGCAATGGCCCAGGAACGTGTGTTCCACTATGTGTAATTGCCTTCTTTTTTAAGGTTCGTATGTTGAGAGTGATATTTCTGTTTTTTGATTTATTTCGATTTGCTTCAGTAGGAAAAAAGAAATTGCTAGTTAAACTGTTTGATCCCATTAAGTTTGAGGTTACACATGGATCATATCTGTTATATTCTTGATTTGGGATATCAGGCTTATAAAAGCTTTGATTTCAGAATGAATCCCACTTAACTTTTATTTGTACGAAGGACATTAAATGTACATTAGTCATCGGACCATTTCTATATTCTCTTTTGGGGCGTCATGGTAGGTGTTAATGGTAACTCTATTTACCAAATTTCAAGCTTATTTTGTAATCCTATCATACTCCAACCACCGTTGGCCCTTTCTCTATTAAAAAAATAATAAATAGAGAAAAATAAACAAGAACATATATATGAAAAGGGAGAGAAAACGGTTAATAAACTGAACAATGGATTAGAGCATCTTTCAGTCAGCTTGAATCATTGACCTTGATAGCTCGGTGAGGGGTGAATCAATCATTTCCATTACAGTAGGATTCAGTAAAGCTACTTGCATTTTTGTTTTACTTAGCTGACAATTTGAGATGCTAATGAAACTTTATAGCTTCAGGTCTTGGGAATAAGGTGGTCGTCTGTTTTCTATGTGGAGAGCATTGCAAGAGTCAGGAAACTCTCTCTGAGTGGTTTGCTTCTTTACAAGCTACACATGGTTGATCAGTTATTTGTCCAATGGCCAAAATTGAAAGAGAAATATCCTCGAGCTCATTATGTGGGTTGTCTTATGTAAATAGAGTAGTTTTCAAGGTACGTCTCATAGTTGACCTCCTTCGATGCTCTTGGAGGAACTTAATAGACTTGGTTTTCGTAACGGATGCCCTCCTTCTTCTCTTAGATAGTAATTTTGCTGTCTTCGTGAGGTAAAAGTTGATAATTAGAAGTTATATTCACTAACTTGAATATACTTGTCACATATAATTTAAAAGATCAGCAGGATTTTTTTGCTATCGAAGTTGGTATTTCCTTTTAAGAATGTTTTAGAGAACAGTAACAAGGTAGTTGAGTTGATGAGTTTGATGTTCAATTGCAGTTGCAATGCTGTGTCAGTCGGTGTCCCTGTGTGTGTGTGTTTCAATCTACTCATGAGCATTACTTTTCTGCAAGATTTTATCTTAAAGCTTTAAGCTTTACCTCTCATCAGAAGTTCGTAGATTTATGTTCAACCTTTTATCCGCAGATGTCACGTTGCAGGTTTCCATCTTTAGAAAATAGGGCCAATTTTTTTCCCACTAGTACTCCACAAAATTATACAACATCCATATTCCCTTTATGTTATTGCATATAATTTCCTAATTAGGCCCAGTTCACTAAAGCTCACGCTATGGGCGGGGTCCGGGGAAGAGCTGGACCACAAGGGTCTATTGTACGCCCTGTTACCTTGCATTTCTGCAAGAGGTTATTTCCACGGTTTGAACCCGTGACCTCCTGGTCACATGGAGATAACTTTACCAGTTACGCCAAACTCATCATTTGAGTCGATTGTAACATTCAAGAAAAATGACATATTATATATATATATATATATATATATATATATAAAACCTAAATAACTTAGAGGAGGCACTTAAGCAAACAGTAATTTAAAGACTAACTAAACATCTAAATAGAGTAATACTTGGACAAACACCAGAACAAAACAGAAATTCTGCTACTTCACAGACCGTCGGATCGAGCAGGATGAACATCAGGGAATTTTTGTACTATACCAGAAGAAACACTTTTAATCAAAACTTGACAAGCAGGGCAGTGAACTGAAGTAGTAGGATTACGTTCAGGCGTATTTATCCAGGACAAATCTCCCAACAACATATTCAAATAACACCTTGTATGTATTGAATGTCCGCAGGGCTCAGCAATAATAAACCACCCGCGGCGAAAGTGTGGATATTCACAGCAACCAGAACGGTAATTCAGAAGCATCTCGCCGTTGTACCCTAGAGGGATAACAGGTGCCAATGGCAACTGCGGATTTGGTGGTTCTAAGCAAGTTGGAGGGGGATACATGCCGTTGAAATAAATAAAACCGGTTTCATCCTATAACGGACGTTTGCATACAAAACACTTCAGGTCAGTAATATTTTTATAGTCACGGTAGTAAAAGAGGCAGTCCACATGAACCAGGTGTGCAAAACACTCCATCAGAAAGGTAATGCGGTCGCAACTATCAATCTCTGATGTGTATGTTGATATGCAGAAGGTTTCAGAGCAAATTGGGCATCTCTTACCCTCAACAAGAGAGTAGAAACGTGGATGCTCCATTGCAAAATTAAATGAACAAATTGGCTCAGGAGCGGTTTGATAGTTAGAGTTCTATTTCTCGAAAGGAAGAGACTATCGAGCATAGAGCAGTAAGAGAATACTAGTACAAAAGAAAGAAGAGAATAGCCAGGGAAGATTACTTAAATAGCCGCAAGAAAAACGCTGTAGTATTAAAGCGACTCCACGAATCATATAAATTAATTTTAAGAATTTGATACGATGATAAAAAAGGAAAAGAATCTCATGTGATTATAGAAGGCTGCAGACAGAATTTATTTTATGTCATAATCCTAAAACAATTGGGGTATCAAGTTGTCTTCTTCAACAATTTTCCTTTTTTTTTTTCTTTTCTTTCTCCATTGTTTTTTTTTTTTTTTTTGGTGAAAAAGATGCATATATATATATATATATATATAACGATAATCAAGCTTTTACAGAACTGTTCAGGAGATGCATTATAGGCATCGGATTTACAATACTACTACCCAAAGCCTCAGTAGGGGGCCTATTAGCTACTGCAAAAGGAGAAACAACCATACTACTATTATAACTATTAGATACAATACCACCTAGACTAGTACTAGTACCATTAACTAAACTATTACTATTACATATGGTAGAAGTAGTCTTCAGCAACCTTCTCCGTAGCATTCCTTCTTGATCTTGGTTATACGTTGATGTCACAAAAAGTGGTGGTTTTTCAAACAGTACACAGGGTACTCGTACATGCATGGCTCCATAGTTGGCTAGTAGATCTGCTACACAGTTTTGTTCTCTGTAAATACTCCAAAGAGGTAGGCTATCCAGTTGTAGGAGTAATAACCTGCAATCGGTAAAGATATTAGTATATTGCATAGTGTTGGATTTAAACATACCAATTATGGCTTGTGCATTAGTTTCAATGATCAAAGGCTTGAGATTTTTTTGTACAGCAATCATCAATCCTTTGAGCAATGCAAGGAGTTCCATTTGAACAGCTGTTCCAGGTGCTGAATTTCCTGCATAACCCAGGATCCAATCTCCGTTTGTATTCCTAAATAGCCCTCCTATTCCATACTTAGAATTATTTGGTGTGCAGGAGCCGTCTATGTTTAGTTTATAGGTATGGGGATCTGGAGGATGCCATTAAACATATAAGGGAATTAAATTATCCTTGGTTTTGTGTTTTGTGAGATGATAAAATTCTGCAGCTTTATTAATTACAGTTTGAACATTAAAACAGCATTTCTTGTGTTCCATAGTACTTTGATTCCGTGTGAGCCACAGTTCCCATAATGCAAAAGGGATAAGAGTAGTATTTGGAACATTATAATCAGTATATTTTAGTGGCTGATATATAAAGTCCTTAACACAGATAATAGGATTACTACTACATCGCAAGAGGTTCATATTTTGTGTGGAAATGTTAAGCTTATGCCACAAATATCTAGCAGGGATACAGTCAAAAAATATGTGCTGTAACGTTTCAGGATATAAATGACACACTGCACAAATATTTGATGTAATAATACCTAACTTGTGTAGATATGTTGCTGTTGGAAGCCTGCCATGGCAAACTAACCAGATGAAATGTGATATTTTTGGTGGAATCGAGAGTTTCCAAATCCAGCTGTAGTTAGTTACCTGAGTATCCGTCATAGTATTTGTGGTAGTTGTAAAAGAGTTATACATTGACTTTACTAAAAATATCCCATTTGGCGTAAGTCCCCAATATATTTGATCATATGTAGAAGATTGAATTGGCATGTAAATATTAGAGATAAGAGTAGATTCATTAAAAGGTAACTTCATTGGCAGTAAATGGAGGTTCCACTTATGATTATAGTAGTAGTTTGAGATTGTTTTATTCTCCTCACCTTTTGGAAGAGGACCAGATATATGGTGATGAAGTATATAATTCTGCCCAATCCAGGGGTCCATCCAGAATTTAATATGTCGTCCTGTGGCTATATTCCATTTGAAACCCAATTTACAACAGTTCCATCCTAGCATGACATTACGCCAAATCATTGCATTTTGTTGTTGAGGTATTCAAGAGGGTCTTAAATAATTACATAGTAAAACTTGTGCCCATAATTGATGAGGATTTTGAAATAGTCGCCATGCAAGGCTGGCATGCAAGGCCTAATTTTTTAATATTAGATTTTGTATTCCTAATCCCCCTTTGTCCAGAGATTCCGTGACAATAGACCACTTAATGAGGTGTAGTTTTTTCTTTTGTGTTGTAGTGCCCCATAGAAAATTTTTTTGATAATGATTAAGCAAATTAATAACATACGAAGGTAATTTAATATACTGCATAACATGATTAGGAAGAGAATTGAGGGTGGAACGAATTAATGTGGCTCTTCCTGCTTTTGTCAAAAAATGTGTTTTCCACCCCGATAATTTAGTTTTGAAATTCTCTATCAAGAATTGGTAATCATTTTTTGATGGCCTGTTTATGAAAATTGAAAACCCTAAGTACTTACCAAAAGTTTTTCCCTCAATCATTTGGAACATTCTTAATATGCTATTTCTAATATTTAAGGAGCAGTTTCTGGAAAAGAAAATTTTTGATTTATCAAAATTGATGGTCTGTCCGGATTGAATTGTAAATGTAGTAAGTGTATTGACCATAGCTTGACATGATTTCTCCGTAATCTTGGATGTAAGAATAATATCATCGGCGAAAAATAAATGTGACAATTGAGGTCCATTATGACTAAGTGATATTGGTATCCAAGAGTTGTAGTCTCCTGATGTGTTGATCTTCCTGGATAGCATTTCTAAACATATTATAAACAGGTAAGGTGATAATGGATCCCCTTGTCTTATACCCCGGGTAGGTGTAAAGTAATCAGTTGGGCTACCATTTAGCAAAATAGCAATATTACTAGTGGTAATGCGACATAATGAACTTGATAAAAGTAGGGGGAAAATTAAGAGAACTTAGAGAGTAATGTATAAAAGACCATTCTAATTTATCAAAAGCTTTCTCCAAGTCCAATTTTAGGAGCATATTAATATTAGAACCTTTCATTTTCTGAAATTTTGTAATTAATTCTTGCACTATAATTGCATTATCCGCTGTTCGCCTATTTTTCTGAAAGCTAGATTGAGTAGGGTCAATTAAACACTGTAGGAAAGGCTTTAAAGTCTATTAACAATAATTTTGGTGATTACTTTATAGATCGTGTTACATAGACTAATAGGTCGATATTGAGAAATAGTAGCAGCATGTTTATTTTTTGGTATTAGACATATGAAAGTATTATTAATAGAGGGCTCAATTTGATTATCAGTGAATGCTTTGTGGCAAAAAGCCTTTACTGAATTACCCACTATATGCCAATATTTTTTATAGAAAAAGGGATGAAGTCCATCTGGTCCTGGTGCCTTCAAAGGCTTAAAAGACTTAATAGCCTGAACGATTTCCCAATCTTGCAAGTGGTTTGTTAAGCAAGATTGATCTGATAATGATAAAACATTAAAAGGTTTTACTCTAGAAGTTCTAGGGGAACTAAGCTTCTGAGTTGCAAATAACTTTTGGTAATATTGAGTAATATTATCACGGATACAAATAGGATAAGTGATCCAATTTCCTCCTTGATCCTGAAGTGCAGTTATACGATTCTGTCTTCTACAATTCAAAGTACTTAAATGAAAAAATTTCGTATTTGCATCTCCATTATTTAACTAGTCCACTAGTGACTTAAGCTTCCAAAAGTCTTCTTCCAACTTTAATATATTATTAAATTCAAGAGTAAGTGT